CGGGGGGAGCATTCCCGCTGTGAAGGGGGCTTTTGTACAGATGTAGCCAAGCTGTAGCCAAGCTGTTTGCATGTGTGAGCTCATCCAAACTCAGTCCTTGTTGCTTTAAACGGCTCTTTTCTCTGGCAGAGCTGAATGGTGTGGCCGTTGCCTAACTCTAATCACAAAAAGGGTCAGGAGTGGTCCGTAGCTTGGTGAACATGCAAGGCACCAGAGATTCGATATCTGTCACATGTATGTTTGTTCTGGAGAGCCGTGATGCACCAAACTGCTCGGTCTTGAAGCAGCATCCAGATTTGGAAGTTAGCTGCCTCCAGCCCCGTTCCTGTCCTGCTGAGGGGTCGTTCTGTCTCCGTTGGGTCACCGTGCAGGGACAAAGGATGTTACCCTGCACCATGTTTGGTGTGCGCTCTGGCCAGGGAGGTGGGGAAGCGGGGAGATCTCACAGCAGTATCTGGGTTCCTTTCCAGCTAAACCACTTCCCCGGCTCATTTCAAATTGGAAGAAAGGACCGTCTGTGGCGCAACCTGTCGAAGATGCAGGCTCGCTGTGGGAAGAAGGAGTTTAACTTCTTCCCTCAGTCCTTCATCCTGCCCCAGGACATCAAATTACTCAGGAAAGCGTGGGAGGAAGGAGCCAGCCGCCAGAAATGGATTGTGAAACCAGTAAGCGCAAAGCAGAGCTCGATCCTCTGTCCCATTGTAGCTGCAGGGAGAAGATCTAATCATCCCTTCTTGTTTGTGTTTTGCAGCCAGCGTCAGCAAGAGGCATTGGTATCCAGGTCATCCACAAATGGAGCCAGCTTCCCAAAAGGAGACCGCTACTGGTACAGAGGTGAGTGGGAGAAGGCAAGGTTGACACACAGCCTTGGAACCTCCTAGTATCTAGTCTCTCTGGCCAGGTCTGGGCTGCTGCCACTGTGTGACAGAGGAGAAGCACCTGATTTACATTTGGAAACTTCTCGACTGCCTGGGTGTAACTCTGCTGCTGGAAATCTGGCTCTCTCTGTGTAGATTTCTGAAGTCTTGAGTACAAACTGGCTCCACAGGCTTTCTGGAGCTTCTGTCTGGCAGGGGAACAGCTTCAGCTCTGCTGTGATCCTGCTCCCGCTGCTTTGTACTGTGGGGTTTGGCATCTCTGGAGGCAAACGAACCTTATCCAGTGCCCACAAGCACAGTGGGAGAGAAGTCCCAGGGAAGAGGTGGCAATTGTCAAAGATTTGTTCTTAACCAAGTCACAATGGGTCAGTAAGAGCCTCTGTGTATGGAAGGTGGTCACAGGGTTTTCTTGAAATAACAGGATTTTCAGAATCTCCTTCCCCTTAAGCAGAAAAATGGGATAGCTCATCTTGGTTTGAGGCTGCTTTTTGGGAAGGTTCTGGTGAGGACAGGAAAACTATCTGGTGTTTGGCAGCCAGGGAACTGCTGTGTTGCTGTGTCTGTTCTCCCCGTCTGCTCCCTGTGCAAGTGATAAGTTTTCCTATGGAAAATCATGAACTGCTGGGGTGAATAATCAAGTGATTTGGATGAAAATTTCCAACTGCTTCTGCTCACTGAACCAAACCATCTGTGGCACACTGCGTGTCTTAGACGTTCCTGAATATTGTGATCAGTCTTGTGGGTGTGAAAAAGCTACTTAGAGCTGGGGAAAATGTCTTCAAAATGGAACAGAGCAGAAGGCAGTACTGTTCGGGTGCTGCATAATCTCCTTTTGCAATGGAGAGCTTTTTCTTCTCTCATTTTGACTGCCATGCACTTAACTTGGAAATACTGTTCAAAAGGGCTTCTGCATTGATCCTTGGTGTTGTCAAGCCCTCTGAGGCAGGGGCTGGAGATGTTCCTGCACGTGGAAATCATAACTCTCCCCTGGTGCATGCTTTCCCTCTGCAGATATCTGCACAAACCCTACCTCATCGGCGGGAAGAAGTTCGACCTGAGGATCTACGTTTACGTCACTTGCTACGATCCCCTCCGGGTCTACCTGTTCGAGGATGGATTGGTTCGCTTTGCCAGCTGCAAGTAGGTTGTCCAGGAGAGCGCTGCGGCGGCGGGGAGCTGCCTCGGCGCTGAGGCGTGTGTGGCTGTGGTACCCGCCTCGCTGGGGCAGGAGGCAGGCATCCCATCCATGGTGTTGATTAAAGCTGTAGGTTGCTTGCTTAGGAAGCAGTCTGGGAACGCACGAGGTTACTGCAGGTGAGTGTTGAAAGGGAACGCGAGAGGATGCTTCATTCCTCCACCTTTTCCAAGGCAAGATCAACTTGGTGTAAAGCAGTTCTTGAATTGCACCGTGCTTCATGCTGCATAGAAATAGGCATACCAGAAAGTGAGATGTTTTCTTCTGGTTTTGACTATATTGTCTCAGACTGCTGCAGGTCTATTGGTGCTTTTGCTCACCAATGCTCTGGTCTTTTCTTGAGGACACCTTCTGAGGGTGTGATTGCATCCCATTGCCCTGAGGTAGCCTGCTCTGTGTCTCATGCTTTGTCCCATCATCTCTGGGCCCGTGGGGACAGGGAGCTTCAGGCAGTTAGGAGAGGGAGGCAGCAGGGCTGATGGGTGGCCAAAAGTTGTTGGAGACGAGAACAAAGTTTCTGCTTGCTTCATGGGCCAAGCTTGAACTACCAGGGAGCTTCAGGCAATTAGGAGAGGGAGGCAGCGGGGCTGATGGGTGGCGAAAAGTTTTTGGAGACGAGAACAAAGCTTCTGCTTGCTTCATGGGCCAAGCTTGAACTGGGGGCAGCCAGTTCAAGCTCAGACTGCTTGTGCTCCTGTTGCCTCCTCTAGGTACTCCTCCTCCATGAAGAGCCTCAGCAACAAGTTCGTGCACTTGACCAACTACAGCGTGAACAAGAAGAACACAGAGTATAAGTCCAACTCAGATGAGACCGCTTGTCAGGGACACAAATGGTAGGTGATGCTTTTAGGGCCCAGGGCAGTTCTTTCTATGCCATGTTAAGTCAGCCTGTTCTCAGTATTCCTCTCCAAAACTTGAAGGTGCTTCCTGTATCGATTTGCTCCTGCTTGGGGAAACTAGAGGAGCAGAGTGACTTTAGCCTGGGTTGATGTCGATGGAATCTGGATGGTCTCTATGGCTTGTGACTCATCCTGTCCCCTGCTGCTTGGGCTGTGGTTGCTGTTCATCCTGTCTGTGTCTGTGCCGTTCTCTGCTTCCAACACTGCTCTCATCTGTGCTCATTCATCCCCTTGCCCTGTTGTGGGGGAGATGGGGTGTGGTAAAGCAGAATCTGACTTTATGCTGTTGGAACTTGAATGTGTAGTTGTGATGATTAAGCAGGCTAGATGGGAGCTTCTGCCCCTCTCGCTCTTGACTTCCCTGTGGAGGCAGAGGAAGAGAGAGTTCTGATGCAAAACTGATTATTTCTGTGCTGCTTGGTGTGGATAGGACTAGCAATGCCATTTCTAGGCGTTTGGGAGGAGGGCTGCAGTCTTGCAGGAGTTCCTGTTGCCTGCTGTCCCATGGGTGGACTGATCCAGGGCCCCAGGCACTTGTCTCTGATTCCACAGCAGTGTTGGAACTCTTTTAAAAATAGTGCAGGATAGAGTTCTCGATCTGTGGATCTGGGCAGGGCTACTCCACTTCAAGCAGAGCTGCAGAAGGTGCTTTGCTGTGGTAGGATTGCTTTCTCAGACCTGGACCTGCTACCTGGTGGTCTGTTCCTCCACTGGGACTTGGAGGAGGCTCTGCTGTCCCCCAGCAGCTGGAATCCCACGGTGGGAGGATTGTGTAGGTTTTGAGTACCGCTGTGCAAGTCAGAGCTGGCTGCTCCCTCATTAAAGATAAGAGTGGCTGTAATCCACTCCATCTCGTATGCAGGAGGCATGACCTTTGGATTCCTGGCCATTAGCCACACGCTCTCACTTGAGCAGCTTCTGAGCATCCTTGGCTCAGTATCAGGGTAACTCGCAGCCCTCGGTGTGGTGTGGGAAGCTCCTGTAAAAGCGGAGATGCTCCCCCCCCACCATCTTGTTCTCCACATTTTTCGAAAATTATTCTCCACCCCTGAAGGCTCAGTGAAATAGGTCTAGCGAAAAGATTTACAGGGGTCTTGCCGGATTCCTATTCGCAGTGCTGCGGGGGAATGCCTGAAGGAAGGAAAGGTTTGTTGAGGACATGGAGGGGGAGGGAAGTAAGATCTGGGCCTAATTTACCTTGCTCATATGCTAATTTGGGATCTGTTACTCCAGTGCTGGGACAAGTCTATGACAGATTTATGTTCCAAGTAGCTTGGACCTACCAAGACCAGGGAGCTAGGCTGGGGAGGGCAGCAACCAGGAGCTGAGGGGGTTGAGGATGGCTGTGCCAGGGAAGAGTTTCATCAAGGCTCTGCTGCTTTCACTCCCTGAGCAGGGCTGAGCAGCAAGGAGCTGCAGAGCTACCTCCTTTGCTTTCTTTCTCCCAGGGCACTCAAAGCTCTCTGGAGTTACCTGACCCAGAAGGGAGTTAATTGCGAGGCCATCTGGGAGAAGATTAAGGACATCGTTATCAAAAATTGCGTGAGTCCTGGCACCCCTTGCTCTGTGCCTGGCTGAGGGATGCACTCTCGCCTCTCTGCCTCTCCAGTCCCCTCCAGTCCCTGGTCCTTTTGCACTTAATCTAATCATGGCTGTTGGCTTCAGTATTTCCCTCTGGATCCTTCCTTTCATCCTGTTACTTATGCTCATGCTGCGTTACCTGCAACAGGTAAATAGAGCTTACATTTCCTGGGCCTGCCCTTGGCGTGGGGCAGGAGGCCAGGTGGGTGCGGTGTACCCAACTCTGCCCAGCTTTGCCACCTGCTTCTCAGGGTCCCTGAAAAGAAAAGTTCCTTGGTGTGGGGTGGATCTCAGAGTTGTTCAGAGGTGGATCCTGCCCGACAGAAGAGGGGTGCTCAGGATGCAATGCTGGATCCCTACGCAGTGCAGCAGCAGCAGCTCATGGGCCCGCGTCAGCCTCTCAGCCCACCCACTCCCACTGCACACGCTCTCAGAACCGGCAGCGTGTGCTGGGAGCAGCCGGAGCTCTGCTCTCCCGCTGTTGGAGACGAGCATTTCTTCCTTGGCTTGCAGATCCGAGCCCTACGTGAACAGCCTGGTGAAGATGTACGTGCGGCGGCCGTATTGTTGCCACGAGCTGTTTGGGTTTGATATCATGCTAGATGAAAACCTCAAGCCTTGGATCTTGGAGGTCAACATTTCCCCGAGGTAAAGCAGATCCTGAGCTACAACAGAGTGGATAATAGCCTCTTTTTTTTTCTTTCTTTTTTTTTTTTTAACCGCAAAATGAATTTGGCTTATGATATCCCCTGCACTCTCTGCTGAAAGACTGGGCTTTGAAGCCTCCCTCTCCAAATTGCAGGAATCAAAGTCCTCTCTGTCTATGAAAGCAACATCCATCCGCAGCTGAGAAAGCTTCGCTGGGTACGCTCCAGCTAGAGCTGGGGAAGAGTATGTTAAAAAAGGAAGGCCAAGGAGGGATGTGTCATGTAGGGAACAGGTGATCGCAGAGATTTCTTCTTTGCGTGGGCAGAAGCGATCAGCAGCTCCACTGCCTTGTTCACCATTCCTTGCTTGCTGATGGCACCCGGCTGCGCAGGCAGGGCCGGGAGCTGCAGCATGGCCTCTTCTGCCTGTGGGAGTGGACGAGCGTGAGCTGGATGCAGAACCGTGACCCCACACAGGGCTCTGGGGGTGGATTTGTCTGTTTCCAGCAAATCTGGAACGAGGTAGGAAAAATGAAGCATTTCTGATGGGAGCCACCATTCAAAGAATTGTTATCAGAATTTTTCTCTCAATGTCTTAGGGCTGTCTGTAATGAGGGAGGGATGAGCTGAGTTTTGTGTCCTCATCGGTATTAACCCACGGAGTGACCTTGAGGCTGTGGGGCTCAGCACCTCCGTTTAGCACTCAAACTGCTGTCATGCTTCCTCCCCGCAGCCTCCACTCCAACTCCCCGCTGGACGTGAGCATCAAGGGCCAGATGATCCGGGACCTCCTCAACCTTGCTGGCTTCGTTCTGCCCAGCACAGACAGCGTGGCCTCAAGGCCACAGGCAAGAAGTGACTCTACCTGCGGGTCAGCCCCCTTCTTTCTTTTCTCTTGGAGGATTGCATCTGGGGGCTGCTTGCCCCCAAATGCTGTTTTCTGTGCTGCTGAGAGCCTGTGCTTGCTGGTTCTTCAGCTCTGGGTCTGAGGGACTTGCATCATTGCCTGGCTACCTGGTTCCTGCAGTCCCTTCAAGGCAGACGGCTTTATGCCCTCTCTGCATAGTTGGAAGTGAGACCAGCGTCATTTGTGCTTGCACTGCAGTTAATCGAGTCGTGCTCTGTCCTCCTTCCCCCTACTAGAACTGATGCTGAGCTGCGCTGCCTTGCTGTTTGCTTGGAGGGCCAGTGGTGCTGGGGCTGGATCCTCTTACCCTCTGGCCCAGGGGTGATGTGCTGTTGCCCTGAGCAAGGGGAGCACCTGTTATTTTCCAAAGGCTGGAGTGATGTGTTCCTGAGGCAGGTCTGCAGGTGTCAGAGGCTGTGTAGGCCTATGGGTAGGGGTGTGCACCTTGCAGCTAACATGACTGTTTCTTGTGTAAGGCTAATTTCTAGGCATATATCCACCCAGGCCCTTGCTCCACCTGTGTTTCACCGCAGCTTGGGTTTATGCTGGTTTCAAAACTGATGGTGTGGGGAAAACCAGCCCTGTTCCCTGCAGCAGAGCGACTACTGGCTGTATGTCACCACAGGAGAGGCTTGCTGGGCTGAGCACCAGCACACAGTGATGTATGGGCACGCCAAAAGATGGGACTCTTGTCCTCTGCCTGCCCCGTGCCCATAGCAAAGGAAGAGGAGCTTAGAGTATGGGCCTGTTCCAGCCGAGGAGCACTCACCAGCTCATCTGCGGCCCTTTGATCATGCGCTTGTTTGCAGCTCACGATAGAGGTGCTGAAGGGCAGGTGTCCTCTGAGGGACCCACAGGGGATTAACGTGGTTCAGATAATGCATTAGGCAGAGTTCCTGCGTCCAGGGGCAAGCTTGCTTAACCGTATCTCCTGCCCTGGGAAGGATGTGAAGGTTTCTTTTTGCATGTGGGCATAATTCCAGTAGATCGGTATGTTCCCCAAGCACCATGCAGCACAGCCTCAACATTCTGGTCTTCCTGTTTGAATCTGCACACAACTAATTATTTTTGCAGCAGCTGAACAAATCAGTTGTGTTGATATAAGGGTTAAAAGGTGTTGGGCAGACTCTGGCATCCCCAAATGTTTCAGTTGGGTGCTTGGAATAGTTTAGATGCTTGCTGGTTGGATCGTACAAAAGGCCAGGATTTCCCGTGGCATGTGAAGCTGGAGCTGAATTCGAGTCTTGAGAGTTCTTGGATGGTGCAGGAGGAAGATTTTTGATCTAAAAGTTCTCTCCCTCCTTGCACAGTACCAGTACTGAGTAGTCATGCCCCTAGCCCTGTGGTTACAATTAGGGATGTGAACATGAGATCCCACTAGGCTTCAAGCTCTGTGAATTGAGTCACGGTGTATCTTTGACCCTCTTGCATCCTATAAGGGTGTGAGATGATGGTTCACCTTTTGGACGAAGGAACACCAAAATCCCCTAGTGAGGAGCTGTCAGGATCCTCCTTGTTCCCCTGCCTGCATCCTTCCTGGATGCGGTGCTGATTCACAGGGCTGTGGGTGCATCACTGATCTCGGAAGTAGTTGAAATCGTTGCAGAAAGCGTGTCCTCCTCCACATCATCTTCCTGAGGATGTCACTGCTCTCATAGAAGTTTCTGGGAGCAACTCTGCCATGACAGGACTTTGTATTCTCTGCTTAAATGCTCTACTGTCTCTTCTTGTGTCCTCAGTCTGAGCGGTGCTTTGAAGGAGAAGCCCAAGCCAGCATCTGAGCATTTCATAGCAGAGAAGATGAAGAAGGCCTATTACTTGACACAGAAGATACCTGACCAGGTATGACACAATCTCCTCCGATACTTGCACCATCCTGCCAAGCTGCTGCCCCAAGGCAGTTGGAGAGAAATAAATTGAGTTTACTTAAGCTGCTGCTGCACTAGCTCATCTTTATATTAAAATAAGTGTGTGCTGAGGGGCACATTACCCATCAGTCCCCAAACAGGGGACTCTGTGTCTCTGTGCAGCTCTTGTAGCTTTTGCCTGCTGACCTGGTGCAGGTTAGGAGGGCCTCCTGCCTTGTCTGCAGAACTGGGAATCTCCTCAGCTCTGTGCGGTGTTGACGTCACCACTGAGCCTGGATTTTTTCACTTTCCACGTGGTCTGTGTCCCAGAGATCTCAGACATGTGGACACCTCTGCCTGAGAGGGTTTATGGGGTGGAGAAGTGCAAAGGGGAACTGACAGTGCATAGTACGTATCTCCCTGACCCCTTCGTTGCTCTTGTCCGCAGGATTTTTATTCTTCTGTCTTGGACATCCTGACCCCAGATGACGTTCGCATCCTGGTGGAGACAGAGGACGAGTATTCCCGACGTGGGCAGTTCGAGCGGGTGTTCCCCTCCCACGTCTCCATGCGGTACCTGCGCTTCTTCGAGCAGCCTCGTTACTTCAACATTCTGGTCACCCAGTGGGAGCTCAAATACTACTTGAATAAACACAAAGGTAACTGCCACCCGAGAGCCTGGCACGGTCACCTGCCGGCAGCCACGGGAAACTCCTGAACTGTGTGTTGAGTGGGAGCTGCCTGCCTGAACACACTACCCATAGGAAATGTGTCACCCTTCCAGATTGCTTCAAATATCGCGAAAAACTTACTCCGAGTTGATCAGAGGTGCTGACTGCTCTGGTAAATGCAGCACTGGTACTTCTAGGTGCCCTGGGGCTGAAGCAAGCTGGGATTCTGTCTTCAGCCTCTGGCTCTGGCCTCACCCTCTTTTGGGGGAGAAACAGCCTGTGTCACTGGGCTTTGCTCCTTATAGATGACTTGTGAAGTGAATCATAAAATCATTTAGGTAGAAAAAGATCTTTAATATCATCGAGTCCGACCATTAACCTAGCAATGCCAAGCCCACCACTAAACCGTGTCACTAAGTGCTGCATCTACATATTTATTAAATATCTGTAGGGATGGTGATTCAACCACTTCCCTGGGCAGCATGTTTCAATGCTAAACAACCCTTTTGGTGAAGAAATTTTTCCTAATATTCAACATAAATCTCCCCTGGCACAACCTGAGGCCATTTGCTCATCCTTTCGCCTCCTACTTGGGAGAAGAGACCGACACCCACCTCACCACAACCTCCTCTCAAGTAGTTGTGGAGAGCTATAAGGTCCCCTCCCTCAGCCTCTTTTTCTACAGAATAAACAACCATAGTCCCCTCAGCTGCTCCTCGTAAGACTTGTGCTCCAGACCCTTCACTAGCTTGAAAAATCAATAATGGATAGTAACCTGAGGGCAGTACCCAGATAGGGAGCTACCTGTTCATGTCTGTAACCTGGGACTTGGGGAGGCAGCAGATTTCCCTAAAAATTTGGACTATTCCCCATTTTTTTGCTGCTTTCTAACTGATGAAAAACTGTCAGCATGCACGTAGAGGAATTTCTCCTAAACTAGAAATACAGCTATCATTTCTGCCTTTCCAGGACACAATTCTGTATTTTAATAAAAAAATATCCTTTAATGAGGTGTAGCTGGGCTGGACCAATTCCTTCTCACACAGGGCTGTCTCTGTCAGGGCAGCAGTAGAGGCTATTTAGGAGAGAAAACCGTGAGGTTTAATATGAGGAGTTACAGACCTTTAAAAGAAAGAGACTGTGGCTTAGGGCTCTCCATCCAGCAGCTGATCTAGCTGGAGAGGCTTCTGCAGGAGCCAGCCCTCCGCTGAGGTGACCATATGTGTGCTCCTATCCTGGCTGTCATGCAGAGGGGAGGAAAAAAAAAAAAAAGAAAAAGCTTTTTCCACTTTTCATTCATGTCAATTCAAGTATCAAAGGGGTGGGTAACAGCCTTTCGCAGACAGACAGTAACCTCATCGCCCTCTCCAGCTGCGCTGTCAGCATGTGTCAGCCTTTGCCTTGCTAATACCTTTGCTGGATGCCTCTGCTGTCAGCTGGAAGAAAGATCCTGTCATCGTCTGTGCTGAAGTGCTGCCCTGAACTTTGCCACTCAGGTCGGGGTCCTGGTTCAATGTGCCAGCTTCCCCGAAGCAGCCCAGTGAGCAAATTTGCTCTTCACCTCCGAGCAAAACCCAGCCTCCCCCTGGTGCCTTCCCATTCACGTATGTTCTGTGCAGTCCTCCTCTGTCCCTGGCCAGCAAGGGCTGGTGCTCAGAGCCGGAGCAGGGCTGCTGAGCTGTCCTGCACCTCTTGGCCCCCAACACATGAGTTTGTGTTTTTTTTCCAAGGTCCTGGGCCTTGCTGAAAGGTCACTGAAGAGCACAGTTTGGACAGCAAGGATTCCTCCTATAGCCAGGGCTGGTATCGTGTAGCAAACCACTGTGACCCCAGCTGGACAGCATCGGGTTCCTGGCTGTTTGTCTGCTGGTTCTTAAATCTCAAGGCACCTTGGCTTGTGGCTCTAAGGCTCATAAAAAAGAAAACAGGAAGGGAGGAGTCCCAGTTTTCACCATATTTCTGGGTTAGTGGTGGGCAGGGCCATGGCTGCGGTGGGGCCAGCTAGCGGGAGGCCTTGGAGGAAGTAGGGTCTGTTCAGTGACAGTTGGACACACGACTGATCTGAGGTGACCTCCCCGTGCTCTGGGGCAGCACGTCCAGTGTGTGGCTGAAAGAGTGGTCGCTTCCAGCCACACCAACAGGGAATTCAGTCTGTGCCAGTCTCGCTCGCTGTCAGGGATGGAGGCCAGGCCTCAGCTCACGTCGAGCTCCGGATGGATCCGTGCAGGGAGGAGATGATGCGCTGGGATGTGGCAGCTGATGGGCGCCGTGCGAGGACGGTGACAGCAAAGCTGCTCTACATTTGCACTGTAGGAACTTTTGCCGGTGCAGCCCAAATCAGGTGCTGCCTTTGGCAGGCACCAGGCTCAGGGGGACAGCCAGTCTGGTCTAATTTGGCAAATCCCGTGTTGCCCCAGTTTCTCTGCTTAGCTGAGCCTGCTGCACGGTTCCCTGGGAGGAAGGCAGGCGCTGCAGCAGCCCACGTGCTGGCGCGTGCTGGTGTTTGCTTGTACAAGGGGTGAACGCCCTTGCTTTACCCCGTGTTCGCTGGGACTCAGGCATGTGTTCAGCTAATTATTGCATAGCATGTACTGCACAGGCGGTTCGCTCTGCGGCATATTTGTGTTCCCAGAGCTGGGAAGGTTTAACTCTCTGCAACCACGGTTGTTCATTCTCGCTTCTTGTCTTTTCTGCAACTTCCCAGGTCTGGAGCTACTGAAGAACTGGTGTGTCAAAGGGTACCACGCTGGAGCGGGGATGGATTTTGCTCAGATGGTGCGTATGGCTGTGAGCAAGCTAAGGAGACGTGGTTGTTTGTCTGAGCAGAGCTGGGCAGACAGCGTGCTTGTTCTGATTCCTGTGGCTCCTGCTCTACCTGTTTGCCCTCCTCTTCCCTCTCTGCCAAGGCCTCCATGAATCTGAAAAAACCCTCTCTCTCTCCTACCAACACGAAGTCCACCCGGTATATCAAATCTGCAAGTACTTTGCATCTGAATATCCTTGGGTGCACCGAGCACCACCCCACATATTTGGTACCTGCCCTGCCCTTTATGGCCCCTACGAGGGAGCCATCTCCGTCTGTCACTCCTGTGCCTTAGCAGCAGGTTGATCCAGTGAAAGAAACCCACTCTCTTGACCTCGAGATGCTCTGCTCCCACTTACAGCAGAGGGATTCATTAAGCAGAGAGCAAAGACTGCTCTGTTTGCTATTCTGGGAACAGTCTGGTGGCAGTGACGATGCGCAGCAGCGTGAGGAAGCTGAAGCGCACTAGGGCAGCCTACGGCAGAGCGCAGCAGACTTGAGAGGTTTTTGCCACGACTTCAATAGCCATTTGGTTGTCTTTCTTTCGTCCCACAGTGGTCATTGCCAAAGTCTCTCTTCCTCCAGAAGAGCAGCGTTCAATCAAATGGCTTCAGCGAACTGGAACTGGGCAGACTGAGGTGAGTTTGCGCTGGCGGTGACACTCACGGTGTTCACGGTGTGGCTTTAGGACTGGTATCCTGAAAGACAACTGGCAGCAGGGAAAGCAGCTTGGTTTCAGGAGAGAGGAACAGGTTGGCTCACATACTCTGAAGCCAGCCACTACTCTCTGGAGAGCCAACTGGTGGGGCTGGCGTGATGTCTATGCAACTGGGCATGTCTCGTTGGCACTGTATGCCCACATTCGGATGGGAATGAGGGCCAGAACGCCTGGACTGCTTGATGTCCTGGTCAGGACATGTTGACAAGGTGTTCCCCAAAGGCACCCACACTGCTTCTGTGGGCTCTGGTGTGGCCAGAAGTGGGCAGCGGTTCTCAGCTGTGGCGTGGGGCTGGCAGAGCACAAAGGCCTCTGGGTCTGCTGCACTCTGCCAGCTTCCCTGAGCAAAGCTGGGCTGTGAATTGGGAGCTGCTGGTCCTGACACTTCCTGTGGAGAGCTGGAGGGCCAGGGTTCATTTGGGTGAGCTGAAGTGGAGGGCAGGCACACACCTGGTCTTGAGGGAAAGGGCATCCCTGCTGCAGTGCCCGGGTGAGGATGGAGGTGGGTTTATGTGCAGGCAGGGAGATCAAGCTGTGACTCTGAAGTCCCATCAAATGGGATGGGATTTCTTGGGCTGAGTGGTGCTGACTGGGATGGGAGATTGAATAAATGAGCCTGGCAGCCCTGTCTGTGTGTAACGATACTGCGGATGAATGTGGCACCATAGGACTTCGGATACTTTCTCACTATCCATAAGCAGCCTGGGGTCTCGTTTCTCCTGCAGCACACTCCTCTCTTCAGCTGGTGAGGACATCACAAGATGCCTGGAGCCCAACTCTGCTCAGAGCTTACCTCTCAACAAGTGCACTGGTGGAGTCGGTCAGAAACCTGCTGGCTGCCTCTCGGACACCACCCTGGTGATGTGACCAGGCAGCTGCCGTCCCTCCCCTGGGAACACATCAATCTACCTCAAAGGAAGAGACAGGAGCTGGCTCTGGAGAGAAAGGACTGTGGGAGCCCCCTGCGCTGCACACTTGCCTGTGAGGCTGTTTTTAGAGAGAGTTTTATTACTGAGGAAGGAAAAGGTCTGTGTGACTTCCATTTTTTAAAACAAATGGCAGAGCCTAGGGAAGGGGGTTTTATCTGGACTTTGTCCTATGCTGTTCTTAAAGCCTGACGACAGTGGTGGTGGTTTCTTTGCTGCATGGGAGCTGGCTGAGTGTGGAGTGAGCTCAGCCTTCCCCGACCACCACGGCTTGAGTCCTCCTTGCTTGCCTGTGTCTCTGTGTGTTTGTCTGGAGCTGCCAGGAATTGTGTCTGCTCCTGCCCTGCTGCACCCTGGCCTCTGCAGAAAAGTCCCCAGCCACCACCCTGCTCCTCTGAAAGGAGCAGAGCTTGGGGCTTTCAGCCGACCAGTGCAATCCTTTCTGAATGGCTGTGCCAACATCCTGCCTTCTCCCAGCCTCAGGGCCTAGGGGAAAGCTTGGGCTTGGACATCGCCACTTGAGAGAGACCACAGGTACCAGCGTTGCTCTGGCTCGTCGGGGGCACAGTAGGGCTGCCGGGGAGGGAGCATCTTCTCGAGGCTGTCGGATCGCGCCAGAGACTTGCGGCGTGGATGTGGAGACTGCAGGCTGGTGCTTTTTCTCCTGGGCTCTGCTCTCTGTTTTCCCTTTGTTTCTCAAGGATTTCTATTAAAGTTTAACACTCAGCTGCTCTCCTGGCCTCCATCTGCCTCTGTTTCCCTGACCTATTTGGGTGAGCAGGGCACCTCGGCTCTCCCTGTGCTTCGCTGAGCTCTGATACAGGAAGGGTTTGTGCCACCACCCCACTGTTCCTGCTGCCCCAAGGCAGGTAAGGTGATTGTGGCCCCCCTGAGTGGAGGGAGTGGCTCCCAGCATAGCTTCTGGGATCTGCCTTATGTCCGGGGGACTCTCCCACAGGTCATTAACCGAAGGGGACAGAGCAGCCCAGCCCCGCAGCAGGGGAAGGAAGAGTTGTGTCACCTGAGCCGTCCCTTGCTGGTTTTGGGTTATGAACCCCCCAGCCTGGCAGGAGGAACGCTGGGCCCTTGGGTGGGTTACTTGGGGCCAGGGGAGGTGCTGAGCCCCACACGTGGGTCCTGGGGCTTTGCAGAAAGCCCTTCCCTCAGCTCTTCCCTGCTGCCCGGAGCTGGGCCCTGTTTCTCTGGTCTCCTTGGTGACAATCTCATAGCTTACTCCTCGGCTTTGCTCCAGCTCCTGAAAATAGCCACCGAAAGTGGAGATGCTTGCTCACTTCCCTGCTGCCAGCACCCAGTAGTGGCCGGGG